TGTACACTTAAAAAATAAAAAGGAGATATCTCACTTGTTCTTGATAAATGGCCTTAGGAGAAAGACATAAATGCTTGTGTCCTTGATTCAGACTTTGGTGAGCTTGACAAGAGGTAGGTTTTAGGTCTCTTTGGGAACTACAACAAACTTTTAGTACTTTATTTCAGGAAAAAGTCCTTAGGAGTGCCTGGATGGCTCAGTTGTTAAGCGTCTGCCTTCGGCTCAGGTCATGATCCCAGGGTCCTGGGATCAAGTCGCACATCGGGTTCCCTGCTTGGTGGGAAGCCTGCTTCTCCCTCTCCCACTCCCCCTGCTTGTGGTCCCTCTCTCGCTGTCTCTCTCTCTGTCAAATAAATAAATAAAATCTTTTTAAAAAAAAAAAAAGTCCTTACCCTAGGAAGCTCATGGGCTTCATTGCCTGTTAACCTCTCTTTAAACATGAAAACATATCACAGACCCACAGCTGTTACCCTTACCTTAGCAGGCAGTGAGCTCAGAGCTGATCAGGAAGTGCTGGGCCCAGGAGGCAGGCGTCTGCCTCTTGGATGTATGAGTAAGAGCCAAAACCAAGCCCCTGAATCCTTGTCTGCTGTGTTGGTCCCTGTACTGGAAACACAAGTGTGTGTGTGTGTGTGTGTGTGTGTGTATTTCCTTACATAATTTAAGTTACTTTATTTTGTACTTTTGATAGATAGCAGGCTCCCAGTCTTCAAGGCAGAAATCAGGCTAGGTATTTCAAGCAGGAAGGGATTTAGTAAAAGGATTTGGATTTGAGTTGTTTTGGAAGGGCTAGAAAAGCACAGAGGGGAGAGATTAGGAAGGTCAGCACCTGCAGACCACTTGTCCTGCTCCCAGGCATTATGGAGCCTGTGGGCCAGTATCTCTGGGCCCCCATGTGGAAGGGGAGTGGTTAGAAACGCTGATTGACCTCTAAGCCCCCAGCCACTGTTGTCACTGCCATGATTAGAGCTGGCACTGCTGCCACATCCAGAAGCAGAATCACCACGACCTCCTTCCTGTTTTCTGATCTTGCACTTACTCTCCCCTCCCCCACTGGCAGAACCTAAATAGAACCTGCTGGCAAGGGGTTCTGGGAAATGTGGTTTCCACACCACCAGCGCCTGGGATGCAGAACAATAGGTAGCCCAGATGGCATCATAGTACTTTAGAGAATGTTATCGCAGAACTTTAACCACTTAGATGTTTATTTTCAGTTAAAATATGAAAAAATATTTATTTTAATATGAAATATGAAAAAATCCTTTTTGACAGTTTCTCTTAAGGTAGAGTGAAAAAGATAATTCTATTTTAAAGAATATTTTGTGGATTTAAAGACCATGGGGAGGATATTTTAATTCATACAGTTCAAAAGCAGCTGAACAAATTCACTGAAAGGATAGCTCTTGCTGGGCCTTGCTATGTCATCTTTGAAAAGCTTGCCTGGGGCGCCTGGGTGGCTCAGTCGGTTAAGCGACTGCCTTCGGCTCAGGTCATGATCCCGGAGTCCCGCATCGGGCTCCTTGCTCGGCAGGGAGTCTGCTTCGTCCTCTGACCCTATCCCTTCTCATGTGTTCTCTCTCTCTCAAATAAATAAATAAAATCTTTAAAAAAGAAAAGAAAAGAAAAGAAAAGCTTGCCTGCATCCCTAGCTAATCCAGTTATCTGAAGTACAGCTGGAGGAGGCAAATTCTACTCTTTGGGAATTTCTATTTGACACTGGCTGCTACTTTTCTGAAGCAAAATGTTTTTTCTGGCAGTTAAATTGCCTGTTTGATTTCTGAGATCTGATATACTTCTATTCTTGGTGCATTCTTTTGTTTGTTTGTTTTTATTTTAATTCCAGTGTAGTTAACATACAGTATTATTTTTTTCTCTTTCATACATTTATTTTTTATAATTTCTTCATTATGTTATGTTAGTCACCATACAGTACCTCATTAGTTTTTGATGGAGTGTTCCATACAATATTACGTTACTGTCAGGTGTACAGTATAGGTCCATACATCACTGGTGCTCATCACAAGTGCCCTCCTTCATCCCCCTCACCTCCACCCACCTCCCCTCTGGTAACCACCAGTTTGTTCTCTGTAGTTAAGAGTTTGTTTGTTTCTTGATTTGTCTCTCTCTCTCTTTTTGTTTTGTTTCTTAAATTCCGTATATGAGTGAAATCATATGGTATTTGTCTTTCTCTGGCTGACATATTTTCCTTACCATTATACTCTCTAGCTCCATCCATGTTGTTGCAAATGGCAAGATTTCATTCTTTTTTATGGCTGAATAATATTCCATTGTGTATATATGTATATACCACATCTTCTTTATTCATTCACCTATTGATGGGCGCTTGGGCTGCTTCCATAGTTTGGCTATTATAAATAATGCTGCAATAAACATAGCGGTGCATATATCCTTTTGAGTTAGTGTTTTTGGACTTTTTAGGTAGATACCTTGTAGTGCAATTACTAGATCATAGAGTAGTTCTATTTTTAACTTTTTGAGGAACATCCATATTGTTTTCCCCAGTGGCTGCACCAGTTTGCATTCCCACCAAGAGGGTTCCTTTTTCTCCACATCCTTGCCAACACTTGTTTCTTGTATTTTTGATTTTAGCCATCCTTATAGGTGTGAGGTGATATCTCATTGTAGTTTTGATTTGCATTTCCCTGATGATGAGTGATGTTGAGCATCTTTTCATGTGTCTGTTGGTCATCTGGATGTCTTCTTTAGAGAAATGTCTGTTCATGTCTTCTCATTTTTGTAATTTAAAAAATTTTTTTAAAGATTTATTCATTTGAGAGAGAGAGAGAGAGCAGAGGGAGAGAGAGAAGCAGACTCCCTGCTGAACATGGAACCTGACGTGGGCTTGATCCCGCAACCCTGAGATCATGACCTGAGCCGAAGGCAGACACAACCAACTGATCTACCCAGGTGCCCCTCGTGTCTTCTGCTCATTTTTTAAATTGGATTATTTGTTTTTGGGTTTTGAGTTTTGTAAGTTCTTTATATATTTTGGGTACTAACCCTTTATTGGATATGTCATTTGCAAATATCTTCTCCCATTCTGTAGGTTGCCTTTTAGTTTTGTTTATTGTTTCCTTTGTGGTTCAGAAGCTTTTTATTTTGCTCTAGTCCCAATAGTTTATTTTTGCTTTTATTTCCCTTGCCTCAGGAGACACATCTAGAAAAATATTGCTACAGCTGATGTCAGAGAAATTACTGCCTGTGTTTTCTTCTAGGATTTTTATGGTTTCAGGTCTCACATTTAGGTCCTTTATCCATTTTGAGTTTATTTTTGTATATGGTGTAAATAAGCCATCCAGTTTCATTCTTCCGCATGTGGCTGTCCTCTAATTGCATTCTCTATATGTTTAATTCCAATGGGAAATTATTTCAGATAATTAATTGTCTACAATTTTACTTAAAATAAAATTGTTGTGCCCTGAGAAAGCAGTACCTAAATGGATGATAAAACATTTAAATCACCACAGTTCCTACTACCATGTGTATATGTAAATCTTTTTTACTTTTTTAATCTCCGTACGTCTTCCCAGCAACTCTGTGAGGTGGGCCAGCTACTCATGCTCCTGTTTTTTTCCAGCTATGTTAAGTGACAGATCATGGGTTAGGTTCCATAAATAAGTGTGATGGTTCACTTATGAATGTGTATTTATGAATGGCCTTCAAGTTGGGGTGGGCTTGCCATTTGGAGGTACACAAAGCCAATCACAGTGTGGGGAGGGCTGGGGTACTTTGAAGGGAATCCATTGTCAGGGCCTCAGCTCATGTAGGTCCAAAATGGATCTTCCTGAGAATATGCATGCAATGAGGATGCAGGTCCTTTTTCCTAATGCCCTTCTCCCACTTTGCTAAAGGAATCCTACCTCTCTCCCATCCCTCTGTGATGCACCTACCCGAGGCTTAAAAACCTGTGGGGAACTAAACAGCAGGACAGTTTGGACTATTGGTTTGAGTATTAAGAAGGTAATGAAGAAAGTAAATGACTCTAATGATTTGATTAAATAACTTTTTGTAAGTGTAGTGGTTTCCTTTTACTTCCTTGCAGCAAGATTGTAGGAGAACTTAAATGGCCTGTTGGTTAATAGAAAAGTAAAACTAATTTTGATGGTAGATCGCTATGTGAGTCTCAGCATGTAACTGAGAAGGAGCCAGAAGAATTGAATGATGTTGCTCTAACAAACTCTCTCCATTCTCATTAATTTACTTATACAAACAAGTTTTCCTGGCACATAAACTTTTAAAAATGAAAAAAAGGGAGCAGTATTGATGTTTAGCCTTAACTGGTTCTGGTAATAAACAATCTTCCTCCACAGATTACATGAACCAGCTGGAAAACCCCAGGCTTTCTTAACATTCTTCTAGAAATACAGAGGTGCATTTCCAATAAAATGTTATTCTGTGTAATAAATCTTTTTCAAAATTCATCATATTTTCTGTTTTCATCCGTTGTGGTCGACTAACTGTAGTTATAACTCAATGGGAAAGAATGCGAATCTTTAGAGACATTGTCACAGGAAAAATTTTTTTTAATTAAATGTCAATTTATATAGATAATTTTTACACCCAGAACTATTTATTTACCTCACCATTAATGCAATACACATTAAGGCAAAACACAATAAAACATTTTCTACTTATAATATTAGGATGTAAGTACGTGAGAACAAAAATAAGAATTCAAAGAGACAAAAAGATTGACTTCAGATTGAGACTATTGAAGAGCTTGTTTTTACTGGGTGATGGTAGGTGGCCAATGGCTCCGGTATTTAGACTATTGGATACAGTGAATTACATCTTTGGCAGTTATTGAAACTGACAAAACATTTATACATCAATATAAAACATGCATGTGATACATTTAAAAATTTTAAGGAGTGGGTTTGGGCAAAAATGTTTAATGATCGCTGATTTGGACAGAAGACCAGGTGTCTTGAGGATAAGCAGGGTCATATGTCTCCCATGTATTTGCTTTGTTTTCCCAGTTTGACCTCGTGTGTGTCAATGCTTGGATGCTGGACCTCACACAAGCCGTCCTAAACCTGGGCTTCTTGGCTGGAGCCTTCACCTTGGGCTATGCAGCAGACAGGTAGGCACGGATGTGACAGCGGTTGACAGCACTAAAACATGATGCATACGTGTGGAGATGAAAATGATGTTAGCCACTAGAAAACAATTTTTGCTAAACTTGGAAAAAATCTTAATCTCTCTACTTGCGACATTCATGCTTATTTGGTTGGACTAATTCTCTCCTTGCTCACCTCCATCTCCTTACTCCTTGAACTGCACAAATGGATGGGGCTGCTCCCAGTGGGTCTGCAAGCATCTGAGTGGAAACACAAACACCAGAAATGCAGTAACTTCATCGTGGGGCCAATGGCTAGCTGGCTGAACACAGCAGAGGCGATTCCATGTTCTTCCATAACCCACTGGTTGTGGTCTGATTAATTTAGTCAGAGTCAGCTCCTTCCAAATATGTTTCATTTAATTTTTTTAAGAAATCCTTGTATTTTATTCTATAAGTTAAAAATTCTGCAGAAAAGAGTTTTTCCGAAGACTGTTAAAAGAACTTTATCATTTAACATTCATAAATATACCAGTTAATGGCAGACGTGGTGAGTGTGTATATTGAGGATAGTCATGCTTTCTATTCAGATATTCCTGTTTGAACCATTATTGATGTTGGTTATTGTATTCATGTTGAACTATTCCTTTATCCCAATTCTAACTATGAAAATATGTGCAGTAATTTAATTATTCCTTCTATACCCCTTAGGACAGGAGTAGAAAAGCTTTGGCCATTGGCCGTGTCTGGCTGAACATCACTCTGGTCACTCTAGCCCAGCCTGGGTGGGTCCTTGTGACCATGCTCATGGTGCACAGTGCTAAGCGTACCTCTTGGAGAACTGCCCAATGCCATTAATTAGCTAATTGTAGACGATAAAATGCCCCAAATGCTTTCATCAATAGATGGTCTGCATTTGACCAGACCAGGACTTCAAAGTGGGTAGAACCCTTGGTTTCTTTTTCTGCTCCTTCATCTGTCTCTTAGTTCTCTCTTGCAGCCCCCTGACACCCTCTTCGTATGGAAAGACAGGCATATGACTTTCTCCTTAATCCTTGTGTCTGATGCTCTTTCCCTGTCTTTTATCCATGTCTTTGTCTGTGGTTTCTTCTTATAGCCCTTCCCATGCATCTTTCTTTTCTTAATCTCCCCATACATCACTAGGGGAGAACCCTAGCTGGCTATGACTCGCAATGGAGCCACGTCTTTTCAACACGTATTTCTGATTTAAACATTAGGTTTTGCTGCTTCTGCATGTTTCTCTCTCACAATCAGTAAACATATCTCCAAATAAAAGTAACTCGACTAAAGGAGGGGGCTCTTTCTACCTATGTTCTAACAGGGAACTGAGTGGCTATCCTCAGAGATGACTCAATGCTTTGGAGAGGAAGACAGAGCCGTGAATGAGTCTGCCTCACCGCAGGGCCAGCCATCTGTCGGCTCTTCTCCTTTGCGTCATTGAAGGAAAGGACAAGAAACAGTGTAATAGGCCACCTATCTATGAGAGGACAGTGTAGGAAGAACAGGCAGTGAATTTCAAAACCTCGATAAACCAGGACTACTTCTGTCTCCACTCCGCTGACCGAAGCAGGATGCTGCATATGTGAATTTGGTGGGAATTTCTACGGGAAAGTGTTTTTGAATCAAATCTCTGAAAGGTCATGGATGACAGATTTCCACCAGCCAATAATTTGGCACAACTATACCGAACCACTTAACATCAGAATCCCAGAATATGGCACTCAATAACGTGTGCCCTTTGCCTACCTTTCTAATCATAGTTATGTAAATGGTGAGGATAAAATGCAGAACTTAAGAACAGCTCACATTGGTTGTGAACTTCATAGTTTGTAAGGAGCTTTCACATCAGCTTCTCATTTGAGCCTCTACAACCTCACCATAGAAAGGGACGGGGGAGAAAACAACCCACAAGCAAATAAACAAGATCTGAGTCTTGGATTGCTGAAGACATGGACCCAAGGTCGCACGGCTGGCTGATGGTTGAGCCAAAACTGAAGCCTGGGGCCTTTTCCCTTCCCCCTTCCCACTCCACTCACAAAAATGCTATAAAGTGTCCAAGCTGTGCCACCAGGGAGACAAGACGTGATAGAGAGCGTTATCTTTTTGGAAACTGCAATCACAAAGAATGTATTCTGTGCTTTACATTTTGTCATGTCATTTCAGAGGCACATGTTCTTATTTGCCCTGGTTTTTCTATAAAACAAAATGTAGAATTTTCAACAATCCTGTACCTGGTAGTAATGCAGTCTTAAAAACAAAATTTCTATACTTAAACCTCTTTTAACAATACCTCTAATGATAGTCTTTCTCATTGTGTCGAAGGAAACGTTGAAGGTGACTTCTTCCTCTCTCTTTCTCAAAAAGGTACGGCAGACTAGTCATTTACCTAATATCCTGTTTCGGTGTTGGCGTCACCGGGGTCGTGGTGGCATTTGCACCCAATTTCCCTGTGTTTGTGGTCTTCCGCTTCCTACAAGGTGTGTTTGGAAAGGGGACATGGATGACCTGCTACGTAATTGGTAAGACATTGCTACGCCTCCGTGTCTCTGACAGCCAGGGACAGGTGGCTGGGCGGTGCCGGCCAGTCAGCCCTCCTGGGGCTCCTATGTGGAGGCTTGGCGGCTGCCACAGTAATGATCTCTGCAAATAGGAAGGTGCGGGGGTGAGATTCTGACTCTTGGGAAACTAAAATGCCACTTTCTAGCACAGCCGTACCCCTAGCATGTTATTGCTTTGCTTTATCAGAGATTAATTTTTATAAAAATTTCAGCAGTTCTTGAAACATTTTTAACGCATTTTCTGTGTATATCTGTGATAGGGTTTGAGATGACATCCCTGTGTTCTCAAATATTATTTCTTAATTCTATTCCTTTTGTTCAAGTGGAGAACTTTTTACCGTGGAGGAGATCTGACCTAAAAATGAGAAGCTCATTTGTGAACCTTTGCTCTCTTCCGTAACTAGAAAGTTTGACCTTCTGGGTATGAAAGAAAGAAAACTTTCCTGTTGCTCTTTGTTCATTTTACTGGGAGAAGTCCTGGCTGCTACTTTGGTTCTGTCTCTAGTGATATCCAGAACCAGCTACCTACTCTAAGAGTCACAGTGGATTTGTGAGCAGGGAGATGCAAAAGCTCCTTTTCGATTATTGCTCCAGATCGTTAAGCTTCTAGTCCTTTCCATTACTGCTAGACAATCTCTCCCCAAGCAGTGCCCACTTTGGGGACACTTTGAAGATCTTTTTATGGGCGGGGAAGGAGAGTGCTGGGAGGTTGCCTGTCGCTGGCTGGGGCAGAAGGGATAATTTTGGAATATGAAGTGTTTTTAAGGAGATCTGAGTCTAGGTGAATTTTCAAAGTTGTGATCTTAGGGCACAACTAAGGTAGCATATCGGAATAGAATTAATGACGAATAGAAATGGATGAGTTGGGGGGGTGGAGGGGGGAAGGATGCCAGCGGTAAAATTCCCCATGTGATTTTTAAAGAAATATCACATAAATGGAAAGTCCAACACCGTGGAGAGAATTATCACTTGATAGAAACCATGTGGTGATCTTGAAAAAATTATTTGTAGAATTATAATGCTCATAAATAATCTCCTAAAGAGACTATAATATGTACATCTTTAGAAATACCGTGATAGAAATCTAGCCAGTTTATTCTAGTTCTGTGTTGATAAAATAGTCATCATTTAAGCTTTCCTAAAACCAACACATATGTTCTTTGTATACCCAGAAGAGTGCTGGGCTAGGTGTGTGGGATGAGCGTGGTACGTGCTTGCCAATTAACTGGCAGAGAAGAGAGTGAGCAGAAAGCATGGCTCCAGCATGTATGGAAGACTTGGTACCTTTAAGAGTTCTGTAGCATTCTAGCAATGCCGATGGATATGACAGATGTAACATCTCTGTTTGTTTATTTTGGAACTGATCTCGAGCTTCCCTAACCTCTGTGTTTGTTTTCCTTCAGTAACGGAAATAGTAGGTTCAAAGCAAAGGAGAATTGTGGGAATAGTGGTCCAAATGTTCTTCACCCTTGGAATCATAATTCTCCCTGGAATTGCCTACTTTATCCCAAATTGGCAAGGGATCCAGCTAGCCATAACGCTGCCCAGCTTTCTCTTCCTCCTTTATTACTGGTAAAGTAGTTTTGGTCATATTGAATTTATTCTTATTCCACAGAAATGTAGAATCTGCACTTCTAAACCACCATAAAAATGAAAGCAACTAAGGAGATTTCCTAACATCTCCAGAGTGACTATGGGCTTTGAGTATTTCTAGAGAATTTGAGAATTTATAGAGATTATTGTTAGACTAATAGTTGTTATTAACATAAATTAATAAAGTACCCAAACAGAAAATCTAAATAGAGTATTAATTATGTTTTGTTATTTTGTAATATCTTCATGAGCACTAGAAGGCAACAAACCATATCTGCCAATATTTCAACATGCAAATTAAATGCAATGAAATAGATTTGCTTCTCTGTGTGTTCTATTAAGCAAATTAATATTATTTAGGAATCTCCTGAGGAATAAAGAAATGTTAAGAGCATGAGAAAATTAAGTTATCAAAAAACTACAGGTTATATGCATTTGACTCTTATTGTAGTGAATGTATTTTGATCATTCCTCTAATTTAATTTTAATATATGGGACAATCCGTTTACATGAATTGGATCTTCACCTCTTCCTAAATGCTCATTATACCCCAGTTCTCTTCATATGTGTAATCGAGGACACTGTGTTCTAGGACAGCCTGGGTTTACAAGAGCAATGCATTATTGATTATTTTTATTATGACCAATGATCTAGTTATCAAGTGAGCACTTTTCCCTTCCATTATAAATTTTCTGAGATAATCTATGTTGCAGAGAGCCTAAACTCTCAATCTCCTAAACTTGTACCTAATCGCAAGATCCATTTTGATAGAGAAACTCAAGTCGTTAACTTTTAGGTTTTGAAATTACTAGATAGAACTCAAAAAAAGTCCTCTTCTTGCCAGGGTGGTTCCTGAGTCTCCCCGCTGGCTGATTACTCGGAAGAAAGGAGATAAAGCATTAAAAATCCTGAGGAGCATTGCCAAGTGCAATGGGAAATATCTCTCACCAAATTACTCAGAGGTAATCTTATTTATTACTAGTAACAAGCATTGTTGAAGTGGGTGAATTGATTTGTCTCTTATGTACATATTATCAAAGAGCTGACTAAATCGTTTTTAGTTTGACTTTTAAAAGGGAGGGAAAAAAAAAACCCTTGGGGAGAATCACAAGGTGCATTAAAGAAGACATGGTTATGGAATTGTGATAGCACCAGAGTGAAGGTCAACTGGTCCCTTGGTCCATGTTTCAATAGTTGCACCACGTTCCTTGAATTATTATACTTTACTTACCTTAGCCCCGTACTATGAAGTCATTCATTCATCTTAATTTGCACAAACTATAAATCTTTTCTTGACATTCAGGGTAGTCTAAAGATTTGCCTTTAAATGTAGTCTTGGAAATACTAGTTATTTGAGAACATGAGCAACGATGTAATATTCAGCCTTCAGACTTACATGTGCTGCTAGCCTACCTTCCCTCCCTCCCTCATTTTCTTCCTCCATTTTTTCTTCTTCTTTTTTCCAGCAAGGCTTTTTGGGTGCTTCTGTATCACTATACTAAGAGAAATGGTAGGGACTCGAGTTCATTCTTTGCTCTTTGGAAGATTTGCTATGCCTTTGGAGACATACAGATATATCTGAAGCAACACCTGAATAATTAGAGAATAATAGATAAAAATACATAGCAATGCTTTATGCAAAGACAAAGTAACAGAGGGATTATTATAAAATGAATATTAGAGAATAATTTTTGGAAGATATGAATCTTTGATAAAAACCTTGAAGAGTATTAGGTTGCTAACATCAATTTTTTTTTTTGTAGCACTCATTTGGTTTTGATAGAACATTCTGATAAAAAACAAGCTTTGTTGGTTTTCTTGTCACATCCCCAACCTCCCAGAACTTGCCCAGAGATATTTGGATTTCTACCTTTTTCCTTCACTCTTACATTCAGTGGCAAGCAGTAGCCTCTGTGTTTATAGAGGTTTCAACTGACCAGTCAACTATTGGATTATATTGATGTACCTTGGGGTTTACAGATCATACACAATGTGGTAAAGATAAAACATGACCTGTTTGAACCATGAAGATGAGTTGATCCTTGTTCTTTGAGCACATATGGGCTGTGGATTCCTTTTAGGGAAAAAATATCCTGCTGCCCTCTCCTCTTGCTCTCATCACATAAACTTTGTCTTCACAACTGGATCAGATGTATGATAATCTGCACTCAGTTTTAATAGTCAAATAAATATTTTTGCTCTTTGTTCAGCAGTATCGCAAAGACGTTGCACATGTAGTCCCAAAGCTAAGTATATGTCAGATTGACATCAAGTTTTTAAAAATAAAGAAAAAACAGTGTGTGCTGATGGCTTATGAAGGCAAATGCCACTTAACTAGGCATGTGGTATATTATTGTGAGTATTGCTGAGAGGCCATGGGATGATTCCCAGAAGCAGCTGCTCTTATATGTCCCCTGGTGTCTAGTTCAACGCTGCTCCTGTAGACCCACAGACCTGCTTTGAATTCATGAGCACTGTGGAGACATTTCAACGGGGAAGCAGTTCAAGGCTCTACATGGTTGTTCTTGTGAAAGATCATGAACGGTGGATCCTGTGGCTTCCAAGATGTGTTAACTCTGGTTTTAAGCAGTTAGATGATCCCCATTTGAAAGTCAGGTTTGAAGCCAGACATGAGTTTCTCTCGGGAGTTTAGCACCTGAGCCACCACTATCCATGATGATTCCATACTGTGATTGGCTGATAAGTCTCTTTGGTCTTTAGTCTATAGGTTCCTGTTCTGTTCTTTTCTTTTCCTTGAAACCTTGGGGGTAAAGAATACTAGGGTTTCTTTCTGGCTTTTTTTCTGTAGAATTTTCTGCAGTCTAAATTTGGTTGATTACATCCTTAGGATCCTTTAACATGACCCTCTGTCTCTTGTATTCCCTGTCAATGGGTAGGTAGATCTAGAGCTAAATCAGGTTTAGGTTTGATACTTTTGGCAACCCTCCTTTGTAAATGGCTTAGTACTGTTCCATTAAGAGACCCCTCCTATCTGCCCGTCTCTTCTTTTGTGGTGTTAGCTACCATTGATCATCATTGCCTGCATATATTAATTCACCAGAAGTTGTAAATGACAATATTGATAACATTCCCATTTTATCATTATGTCTTCGTTTGTTACTGGAACACTTACATAAAGACTAACTTCTCCCATCAATTATTTGGTGACTCTGAGATACAGTTCTTACAGCTTCTTTGCTCCTTAGCACGATGAGATTTTCCAGGCTCATCTTGTAGGGTCTCACTCTTGGAATCACCTACTTCTCAAAGGGTGCTTTGAGTTTTGAAACAAATGTCTTCAAACTGAACCTATCCATCTTCAACCTTTTAAGATTGTACAACATAAGCAGAAAAACAAAGTATTATCTTCAAAAAGAGAAGGAATTAACATTTCAGTTTAAAACCCCTTGCTAATAGCAGAATTCAGTCAAATTATAGGCCAAATCATAATTCTCTATTTCAGAGATCCCAGTGTTCCCACAAAGAATAATAATGTGCAAATTACCTCTTTACAGTACTCAGAAGTACTGCCCAATAGTGCAGGAATTTTTCTTGAGCCCCAACTCCAAAATCAATCCTATTATGGTTTCTGTGTGTCACTATCAATTACTCATGTTTTGGTGACTCAACTAACTAACTAATTGACCAAATCGCTATTAGGGTCATCTTGAAACCTTATGCTTACATAGTCACTTCAACCCTTTTGCAACCTTTTGATGCCTTAGCTGGTATCCCCCCTCTCTGAATATAACCTCAAGGACCCCCATGCTCAAAGCTGATTGTCCAGTGCTCTGCCTTCACTTTTCATAGAACCTCTTTTCAGTAAATCCTGACTTTTGGAAGAAGTTATTATCATGTAAGTTACCACATCCTCCAAGACCAGTCCAAATTCCCATCTCATCCTAAGGGTGCACATCACAGGTTGCAGTGAAGCTAGAGTGAATTGGAAAGAATCTACCTGATGCACATGGGAGGCCTGGCAGCGATGCTGTCTTCCTTAGTCACCTCCCAAACCCAGCCTGTTCCATCCCTGGCACCAGAGAGCCTAGTCTATTTTAGGGGGGATCGAAAGACCTAGCTTAAAATGATGTTCTATATTACAGAAGAGTACCTAAATTCACCACAAAATAGGGCTACACCAGTCCCCTGGGCTTTGTGAATGGAAGGAGGATGTGGGAAGAAATAGGTGGATTTCATCACAATATTCAACCAGGTGGGTTATTCTGAGGGTTGGCTGTCCAGTAAATAATCTCAGTTATATTTCATATGGATGTTACTCATTTTGTGGGCAGATAAATTCTGGCTTTCTGTCTCACTGGTCCCTAGGCTTCCATTTGCCAAAATTCCCAGCTAGCTTCTGACTTTGCTGAAGCCACAGCTAGAAGCTAGAAACACAGGTGATGAGAACATCAGGTTCTCTGAATATACCAACAGTATAACTATTATTCACTGATAAGAAAAGTCCAAAAACATAAAACCAATGCAAATGAGGCAAGTGGGTGGAACTTAGAGTAAGTTGAAGAAATGTAGAAAATGGAAAGAATCAAAGTATATAGAAACCAGAGAGAATCAAGGGATGGGCTGGGTGTCAAACACTAGGCAGTGACCCAGTGCAGAAAGATACTTAGCTTAGACTCGTTCACGGGTGCCTTTGCAATGTTTAGGGCACACTTGAAAAAATAAAACCAAACTATTGGCAAGTCTACAGTCCTTACAGCCCAAGCACAACTGTAGTGCAGCAGTGTGTCCTGATGCCTCCAGAGCGTCCACAGGCGTCCTTTGACCCGGGGAGCATGTCAGTGATTACACTGCTTCCTGCCTTGGCCATCCCCGCAGTTTTGTTCATAAGGCAAAGTTGTTTCATGTTGCACTTAAATTTCTCTTTGGCTTCAGTTTGGTGTTACTTCCTGGTATCTGTAGTACACTTGTTCTTGCCTCACACCTAGTAAGATACCAATCAATGCAACTTTCCACGCTCATCCAATAGACACATACCAGCACTGTGTGTATGACTGAACGGTGCACTGAATGGCAATGCTGATCTGAAGAGATGGCCATTGCCCTAAAAACTGAATGTGTATTTCTCAAAATAGATGAGAAAGTGGGCAAGTATTTAAGAGTGCTCAGACTTGTGCTCGTAGTAGACTAGGTCTATGGGTAAGTAGAGGAGAGCCAGGATTGTTGCTCAGTGAACTTTTCTCATCACGAAGTGGTACTATCTTTGATAGATGTGTTCTTGTTCCCAGCTCTTCACCCCTCTCTGTGGGAAGATCCCATACACACCCCCACCCCCGTGGCCGTGGGACTTGCAGCAATGCTCCTCTGCAGGTGGATAGATTCCCCCCACTGAGTCAGGCTGGGCCTTCTGAATTGATGGCCCGAGGTACCAGTTCAGAGCAGAAGCTGTAAATGCATTTCTGACAGCTCTCTTGCCCTTTCCATTTGCCACAAGAACAGCATATCCTAAATTGGTGGTGTTCCTTCAGTGTGGGACTCAGAATGAGAAGAGCCACAACTTGGAACAGAGCTGCAGAAGCTGACCTATAGCCGCCCTATGGAATATGGCCAAGAAATAACTGTTTTCTCAGTAAACTAGTCTGCTAAACGTGTCTCAGCATGCTGCAGAGATTGGAGGGTGTTTGTTTTTGCAGCCAAAGCTAACTAATGTAGCTGATCATAATGGCATTGTTTTGATTGCCAGGGTAGGGTTTAGTGATTCAACACATTTTTGGTTGTTGAGGTGACAGAGGAAGGGGGTCGTTTAGATTATTGTTTAAAATATACACATCCTCCCCCTCATTTCCATTGGACAAAAATACTTCTGGGTTCAAATGATATTAGGCATGCCAATGTAACTTGCTTTGGTCCCATGGTAGGTGGAACGTCTGTCCTGCCCTTTGATTTTGAGCTTGACCATGTGAGTTGCTTTGGCTGATGGTGAGTTACCACCAGACGTGATTCA